CGGATGATGGAATCAAACAGGTTCGTCCCATTCCTGTGTCAGCAGACACAGGATCGAGCTCAGCACCTTCCGATGATCATGAGAAACGCTCAATATCACAATCACCATGGCTTCCTCGCCTGAATTCGTGCATCCCACTGTTACAGTCTGTACAGAAGTACTCGAGCTATACCTTCACGACTTTTGCATTCATCCATGGACTTGCTGTTGTCGTTGCGCCGGCGATTTCCACATCACTTGCTGACGATCTCATCGGCATGGGCCGTCAGCTATACCAAGACAGCGGGCTCGAATGGATACTGGTCTGGGGGTCTCTGGGCTTGCACGTACTCAGTGGAGTCGCAGTGAGGTTTATTCGTCAAGTAATCCATAGACTGAAACACGGCGACAAGCGTCGCAAGGCTCTAAAGAGACGCACTAGTCTCCGTGATTCAATCCCATCAGAGGAGGAGGTCATCGTCAAGGAAGAAGGTGGGCTGACTGGTGGCATATCAGGCTACGCCGGCATGAAGCCAGCAAGAACGAGCTTTGTCTCCAGAGTCCTGGGACTCACACCGCTACAGATGGCTGGGTATCTCAGCATACCGCTGGTGACGTACCACGCTCTCCAGGTGAGAATCCTCCCCTTATGCCTCGAAGGCGACTCCAGCTACATCGGCCTAGACTATCTCCAGTACATCCTGTCGTGCTCCCATGGCATCGCCAGATCGTGCCTCAACTGGCTCATCTACCCATCCATGGTTCTGCTAACGACATACCACACCGTCTACGGGCTGCTCTTCTGGAATAACGTCAAACAGCTCAGGTTGAGGAAGTTGGCCATGAACTTCATCTCGCTGGTGGCGCTCTGCGGCGTGTACAGCCTATACGCCATCCACAAGATGGACTCTTCGGTCCCACAGTTCATAAAACTGAGGTTTAGCGGATACCTGGATAAGTTCTATCTCTTCTAATCAACACTTCTCTACGCATTCTCTCTTCATTTACACAGCCTTGGTCCCTCAAACCGTAGAACTATGCTCCATCAAGCCCATATCGCCCGTACAATTTTGAGGGCCTTCTCGGGTGGAAAAAGGTCGGAAAAAAAAAGTCACAATCACCATGCTGCACAGGCCTGAAGTCTAATTTAGCTGTGTATATATAGTGCTTCCGGGACATAATAACAGGTACTGGGGGAAGCAGTCGAAGCAATCAATTGAAGCACACAAGCCAGGATACACAGTGGAGATGGTTACGCCAGCGATCAGATCGTTATTGGACACGGATCTGTATAAGATCACGATGCACGCTGCCGTGCACAAGAACTTCCCTGACACTCATGTGGTGTACAAGTTCACCAACAGAACCCCTGACATGAAGCTGAACGAGGAGGCTGTGGAGTGGTTGAAGCTGCAAATCCATGCGCTTGAGGACTTGAGATTCACGGAGGATGAAATCCAGTTCTTGGAGAGCGAGGTTCCTTATTTGCCAAAGGCTTATCTGGAGCATCTCAAGGGTTTCCAGCTGAAGCCGGATTCGCAGGTGGTGCTCAAGGTTTCCGAGGACTTTGCCATTGACCTGACCACCCATGGCTTGTGGGTAGACACCATTGCGTACGAAATCCCACTGCTGGCACTTGTATCTGAGGCTTACTTCAGATTCGTCGACACTGATTGGAACTTGGATGGCCAGTACGAAAAGGTTCAGCACAAGACCAAGGAGCTGTTGGAGGCCGGCGTGGCATTTTCAGAGTTTGGTACCAGAAGAAGAAGATCATTTGAAGTGCAGGAGCTAATCATGAAGGGGATCCTTGAGACAGACTGCGAGAACAAGAAGTTGTTCTTGGGTACCTCAAATGTCTACTTTGCGAAGGAATTCGGAGTCAAGGCCATTGGTACAATTGCACACGAGTGGTTTATGGGAATTGCTGCTATAACACAGGACTACACCCATGCCAACCATAAGGCGTTGGACTACTGGATCAACACCTTTGGTCCAGAGCACGCAGGACTAGCATTGACTGATACTTTCGGAACTGATGATTTCTTGAAAGTGTTTGTTAAACCATACACCGATTACTATACCGGTGTAAGACAAGACTCTGGTGACCCAGAGCTCTATGCTGAGAAGATTGCCTCCCACTATGCCAAACTGGGATACCAGAAGTTCTCAAAAGTCATCTGCTTTTCTGATTCCTTGAACGTGGAGAAGTGTATCAAGTATAAACATAAAGCTGATGAACTTGGGTTGAAGGCAATCTTTGGAATTGGCACCAATTTGACCAATGACTTTGTCTCAACAATTACTGGGAAGAAATCCGAGCCTATGAACATCGTCATCAAGCTTTCAGAGGCCAATGGTAAGCCTGCTATCAAGATCAGTGACAACCTGGGCAAGAACACCGGTGATAAAGAAACCGTTGCGAGTGTTAAACAAGAGCTGGGGTATACTGAAAAGACCTGGAAAGGCGGAGACGAAGCACACAGATGGGATAATTGATCATGTAACCATTGGTTTTCTTATTCTTCCTTGAGTTTTCTTTTTACACATTTGAATATCAGTTAAAGCGTTTATGTTTATCGTTTCATCGTAATTAATCGTTTAATGGTATCTGATCACTTGGATTTCTTCTATTCGCACTCTCTGGTCTGGGGGTATCAACGCAGTACTGTAGCATTGCCTGGTAACAGAGTACAAATTGATCAACAGTTTGAACCATTGATATCCGTTGCTTTCTCAATTGCTGTACGCAAAAATTGATGATGTCCTCATCACTGTTCCAAACGTCAAGCCTATGCGGATCATGGCCTTCTTTTGCATACCTCTTGAAGGCACTTATGATAAGGTCAACCGTGATAAACACACCTGTTCTTCCACACCCTGCGGAACAGTGCACCACGATAGGAGCAGAACTGTCGTGAACAACTCTGTCCTTTATTTCAGTAAGGGTTAACAAGTCTTTAAAATTGACGGCTCCAAAATCAGGCCAAGCTGTGAAGTGTAGTTGACTAATCATACGTGAATCTCCATGGTTCGTTAATTTGATCCTTCTTAAGGTCAATGCCTTAAAGCCCATGTAATTATCCTCTTCCGATACCAGTTCAATACGTTTCGAGTTTTGCCAATAGACATCACTCTTCTTCATCCCATTTTCAGCCAAGCTCGTCAGAGAGACGATGACTTCAGTTTTGTTATGCCAAACAACTTTCCAAAAATCTTTTATCGTTGAAGGTAATGGTGCCTGTGTGGCAATATAGTTCACAGCATCGTTGATCTGTGGTACACTCAAAAAATTGGCATTGAAGTAGTCATCTCCAAACTTTGATGCTGATATTGCAGATGTTGGAGATAACGATGAAGTACTTGGAGTACGGAAGAATACCGGTTGATGAAATAAATTGTTTGGGGTAGTTGTGGTACTCAAAGGAGATGGAACCAGTTTAACTCTTGAATGTTCATAGGGTAAAATATTAGGGTATCTGTTCTTGAACCCATATTCCGAGCCTTGGAGCTGAACGCCTGGCGAGCCACTAGACGTTGAAGACCGGCGTTGTGCTATGGCACTTATACGGGCATCCTCCAAGGATTCGATATTCATGAAATTCTTGATAATGGCATTTATCCCATCTTTCCGAATGTAAGGTTGAAGCCATTTGGGGAATTGGTTTATATTCTCAAACTTGGGAATTTCGAGTTTGGTACCGCGTGTATCTGGGAAACAAGTGTTCTTCTTCAGGGACATCACAAAAGATGATGCGGGATCAGCAGATGGGAGCAAGAAAGTTGCAAATGCAGACAGTGATGAGTCCTCATGCGACTCAGGCTTCTTGAATTTCGTTGTATCCATCAGTTCTTCGTGGCCATCTAGTAAACAGAGTCCTTTGTCCAGCATGTACAGCTCTATATTCTTATTGGGGTAATCCTTTCCAATCTCTTGGAATTTCTTCATGATCTGATACATGTGTGGCATACAATGTTTCTTATTTGAAGATGAATCGTAAAAGATGAATTTGATGTTGGTATGCTCATCTTCCAAGACACGTTCCAGGTACTCCTCTTGTGATTTAACCATCGTTTTGAAGATGTTCGACATATGAAACGAGTTTCTCTTCAGTAGCGTTGTTGGAACACATATGCTCAAGGCGCCCTTTACCCTTGAAATGTTGTACTGGTTAAACGGCCTGAGGTCAACAACGACAACTTCGTACGTCTCCGTCGATTCTTCCACTAAGAGCTTCTCAAACTCCTCAACTGTTGATATTGCTGTGACGCCGAGGGTCTCACAGTTTAACATCTGCTTCTGATGGATCAGGTTGAGTTGATGTGGTAGCGTGTTCATCCTCTTCTGCAACTCTGCGTACGCTATTGGATTCGTTGGAGGCGTCACTGTGATCTTGAACTGAGGTGGTGTGTTGACTGAGGACCCACCGCCACGTACTGGCTGTTCTGCTGACAACGTTTGCGACTCTGTGGCGGCAGCCGCCGTGGTTGGACACAACTTTGCCTTGTTGTTTTCCTCACCACGCAGCAGCGCTGATTCCTTCCTCTTCAGCGAGGCGGCTCGTCTCACCGTCGATGACTGTGACGACGTAGACGACGACGATAGCGACCTCCCTAGTTCTGATACAGCTGGTCTTACGGGACCAGCGGCTCTGCCGCCATCGCCAAAGATGGGCGACGACGTGCTCATCATGGACGTGGGACTCGGTGATGCGTGGAAGGAGAAATACTCGGGAATGCAGCTGGAATCCATGCTATTGTTATATCGATATTCTGTGGTGCTTATCTATTAGACGTGTTGCTTGCGACGGTGACAACAAGGGGAACAAAGACTGCTGCAACAACAGAATGAAAACATCAACACGACCCAAGAAAAGGAAAACAGGACAGCTGGAGAAAATGTTCTAGAGGCCGATGATGCAAAGAAGATTAAAAATAATCCGCCAAAGCCAGTGCATTGGGGTGATGTACGCTGTTTTTCTTTTTTTGGCGGTGTGTGACAGGGCCTGCGCGTGTGGTGCGCCTATTTTGGCAATGACGTTGTTAATCTAGAACGGGCCGCGGGACGAAATTGGCGTGGAGACGGTGGTGGAAGAACAAGACGGGTTTCTTTTTTTGGCGGAGGGGGCGTTAGGGGGATGTACTGCCATGTTTTGGCCTTTGAAAGGACAGAATGTTGTTTTTTTCGGTTTTGTGTCATTGTTTAAAACTGTTCAATGGGGCTGGGGGAGGAAAGTCGTGAAATTTTTGCCGATGTATATACAACAGTTACACGCAGTGGTTTAAATTGGAGCTCGGCACAGGGAATAGGATATGCTTGTTAATTTGGGTTGGGTGTCGATACCGGGTTACGGTTGTGTGATGTTGTATGCTGGTATTAAGCTCTCGTAAGTTAGCGTGGATAACGCTTGGGTTACAGAGAGTGGGTTTCCAAGGAAGCCGAACGGAAGCATGTGGTGGCGGACTCAATGTTGAGTGGATTGGTGTTGGTGTGAGGGCGCTGCACCGGTTGTGTATGTGTGTTTCGCTCCCGTGCCATCCAGATGTGTGCTACGTCCAGATGTAAGTTACGTCCAGATGTATCACACATCCAGATAGATGCCGCTAGAAGCATATACCTCTAGAAGTATATACCTCCAGAAGTAGCCAGCTAAGATGCCTCTATGTGATTCAAATGACATAGGCCTCAAGTCAATGCGCACCTACCGTCTTAACAAAGAGTCTCATATGAATTCTTACACTACAACACAGACGAAACACCCCTACTCGACTCATGTGTGCCTGTAGAAAAACTTTGGAAGTCCTCCCCATATGACGCTATAACTTCCTATGACGTCCTCTATCTAATCTTTGGTCTTTTAAAGTTGGGGCATGACAACAACGTTCACTAAGTGGGGAGGGGGAGCCTTACGGTGGAAAGGATCCCACGAGGAGATGTATTGGAACAATATACGAACACATTTGGTTAGGTCTCTGAATTGGAGACAAAACCAAGGATCAAATACGAGGACTGGCCTTCAACGTACTTTATCATGGTGGAAAACCGCATTTGACGTTTCGACGCTCTTAAATGCTGTCTCTACCGAGAGGTGACTGGTTACTCTGGAGACGACAAGGCGTGCGTTTACCGTAAGAAACACAAACAATGTGCGCGGACGGATTTCTTTTTTTTTGTTTATGTCCCATAAACACAAACAGAAATGTAAACATTGGGTTCCACCTTACCAAACCACAACCCAAATAGTTGATTATAGCTTGTCAACAATGGAAGAGTTTGACCCTGATTTGTCTACACTTACCAATATAAGGCTTCAGAACCGGAAGTCGAGGCAACGACTCGCTTCTGCGTTGGCTGAAGATGATACCACTTCCCCCATGAAGCCCAATGACAACAAGGTGAATCGATTCACGTTTCTAGATCAGAGTACTCATTCTCCCTTAAAGAACCCTTCTCCCTTGAGATATGGCTATTCACGAAGGGATGTTTCCGCTGCAGGTGAGCCAAAGGACCGAGAATTTGACATAGATACGGGCATCCTGAACCGTGCCAATCTCAGTTATCTTGACAGGTCTAAGTACGATCGTGATTTAGAGGCCAATGCACTGAAAAGGGAAAGGATATTAAACTTGTTAAGCCCAGATATCTCTGCTTCAAGAGGTGTATCTAGCTCCCCTGTGAATTTAGGAACTGGTAGGAGTTCCAGGAGGGAGTATGCCAGGGATAGATTAAGACCACATAGTATTCCAGGCTTGGAGTCGGAGTCTTCGCCTTTATTGTCGAGCCGGAAAAGATCAAACTTTCACAGGAACAACACTGTTGATGGGGATCTGGAGATGAAGGATGCATTCAACGATCAGTTTGCAAAACTGGTGGATAAATACAACTTGAGCAGTTCAAATGACGATAAGTTTGAAGAGTATTCATCCCAAGTGAAGAGTTTGAAAGATAAGATTAAACAGTTGGAATTGGAAAACTCAGATTATAAAGCACAAATCGCAAAAGTCTCCAACCAAGATGAGAATCTTTTAAAGAGAAATATGGAACTTACCAAGGAGATCAACAAGTTGAACGAATACATCAAGTTTTTGGATTCAAATTTCCAAGAGATGTATGATACATGGCTTGAAGATCAGCATCAAAGACAGAAATTGATACAGAGAATACAAGATATGAAATTGGAGACTGTCAAGACTTCCCGAAGAAAGCCACCCACGAGATCAACAAGTCCTCAAAAGGTCCAATTAAGCCCCTACAAACTATCTCCACCAAGGACTTCACCTCTCAAATCCATAATCAACGAAGACACTACAGAGTTACTCAGATTTAGTTAATAATTTTAATGTACACACTTTTACACCATCATCTGATCTATCCGGCAGTGTTGGAAAAGTGGCTGTAGATTAGACATGATTCACTCCTCATCATCCTCAAAGACATCACTTCCGTAGTCCTTTTCATCATCGTCTCCATCTTCCATGACAAGGTCCTCATCATCAAGAGACTCCACCTCCTTTGATTTGTTCTTCTTTCTCTCCTCTTCCTCCTCTGCTAACGATTCTCTCAAGATTCTAACCTTCTCCTCTTTAACTTCTCTGTGTACTTTAACGTACACACCCAGTGGTGTCTTCTCCCATGAAAGGTCCTTCAAGAAGTTGTTAACTTCAACCCTGTTCTTTGGACCAAACTCGACTGTCGATCTCTTTTGTTGGATGAACTCGGAGTTCTGGTTCAACTTGTCAACGAGTTGGGAGAGTTGTTTGTTGAATTTGACATTGCTGCTGGTCTTGATGTATCTTCTCAAAGAGATGATAACTGGGGTTGCAAGTTCGGGGAAGGAAATCGATTTTGAATACAGAACAAGGTATTCACTGGCTAAGTCAATAATCTGCTCACACACACCTTGCTGATATACCCTTGTGCCCAAGTAAGCAGTGTTTGCTTTGATGTTATGGTCAAAATCAAAAGCTTGCAAGTTTGCATTCTTTGGGTTCTTGGTCAAAGTGGTGGAGTTCAAGATCTCTTGTAACAGTGGGAACAATGGGATGAAAACACCTGTATTTTGAGATAAACGGATCAAAGAGCGCATCAAGTAAAATCTCAACGGAAAGAATTGGGCAGTTGGTATCAATCTTGCTGCACCCAGTGTGACCTGGACTAGTGGGTAGATGAGTTGTCTCAATGGTGATTCCTTCTTCATTTCGACGTCAGGGTTACAGTGGAGGGACAAGACACGAGACCAGAAGTCAAGAGAATGCGTATACTGCCAGTTGTAGATGGTCTTGTAACCATCCTTTGTGTTGTTGATGCTGTTTCTCAAGTGAATAGCCAATTGACGGATATAATCGAAACCAATTTGATATGATAGGCTTTGATCAATTCCGAAAAGCTCAGCAGCGGAGTTCTTTTGGAAGTTAATCATTGGCATTGTATGGACGTTGGTTTGACGACATTGTTTAATGAATGAGGAGTAAGTTAATTTCAAAATCGTTTCCAATGATGACTTGCTGAATTCACGGGAAGCGTTGTTCAAGAAGGCAAATGACGCAATCTGTGTTTCCACATCCTGTGTACTTGACCAAACAGAGACAACAGCATTGAGAATATCCTTCAAGAGTCTTCTGAAGGAAATGAAGTATGGTAAAAGCTCTTGAACTGAGGACAACACCAAAGCAGCTGTCTCTGTGTTGTTGATATCGTTGAGCAATGTGATCAGAGATCCAGCGTGCGACTTCAAGATTGAGTTGAGCTGTTTCACCTTTGTGCTCACAGGCACGGTTCTGGTTCCCTTGATCACCTTGTATGGAACAAGACGTTGAATAGCAACTGGCACTTTCTTCAATCCGAGGAGTAAAAGCTCTTGGAATGCCTTAGGCTCAGTAACAGTGTACTTGTACTCTTCTTTATCATTGTTGGCATTGACAGCAGCCTTAAACGCAGTTAAAACGTTCTTGATCAGTTTCAAAGATGGCTCGTTAAGCTTCTTCGACCAGTCCTTGACCATTTTCAAAGTAACCTCAATCTTTTCACTGGAATCTACCTTCTTTCCATCAGCGTGTTCTTCACCATCATCGCCCTCATCAGCGCTGATGGCATCCAATGGGTTTGTAGGGTTGAAATCCAAGAGGTCCTTGTCGTTCTCCTTCAGGTAGTTGTAGAATTCCGGGTCCTTCTCAGCAAGCTTGGACAGATCTTCCTTGTGCTCTTCAATCTCCTCATCGGACGAGCTCTCATCGTCCGCTTCCTCCTGCTCCTTGGTCTTCTTCACTTTCGACCCTTTCTCCTTAGGAACTTCAAACCCTCCTTCGAAGAACTGCTCGACGTCCATGTCATCAAAGATCTCATCTTTCTTCTTGGAAGCACCCGAAGCCTCGGCACCACCACCAGCACCAGCACCAGCCTTGTTCCGGTTACCTCTGTGCTTAGCAAGCAGCTGTCTGTGCTTCTTGACCTCCTTTCTCTGATCGAGCGTACGCTTCAAGTGCTTCGACTGAAACTTCTTCGTGGACTTGCCAACCTTTCCCATTGTACGCTGATTCACTTCCCGTTTCCCAGTGTATACCAAACTACGAGAACGTGAAGAATTCACTGCTATTAAAAATTTTCTTTTTGGTGGCCGGGGCTCGAAAATTTTACCTGCTGAAAAATTTCATGCGATGACCTGTTACGGGACACACAGCTTCACGAGACATAATTGAAGCTCATTTTATGGGTTGTGGAAGGCTCTTCATTGCAATCACAGCTGAGGTTTCAGGTACTGTGTGGTGCGAGATATCATGATCAGAAGGTATATTTGCGCTCGAGGAGCGAGGTTGGTCTTTAGAGGCTCACGAGCTGGGCTTTCTAGACAGCTGAGCACTGGTAAGGACGACATTAGGGTGCTGGCTGAGAGGACATCCACCACGGTTGACCTGGATAACACCAATGTCGACTCTATAACGCACGATTTGGTGCCACAGTGCGCGTCGTGTGGTATACAGCTCCAGTCCAGCGACGCTGATGAGATTGGGTACTATAAGGAGCCTGCGAATAAGCCGAAGGCCTACAACTCCAAGAGGCTGCAGTTCCTGAGTGCGTACGCTCAGCTCGACCAAGAAGGTCGGAGGCTGCTGGCTGGAGAAGATGCGGATGCCAGGGCCAAGCAGGAGCCAGTTCAGGAGCCAGTTCAGGAGAAGGTTGAGGAGCTGGTCTGCCTGAGGTGCCACAACGCACTCCATCACAATGTATACAAGGTGAACGAGCACCAGCCGATGAACATGCACGAAGTTCTCTCTCCAATCCCATTGAACCACCAAATCATCAACGTCTTCTCAGCCTATGACTTCCCACTGTCATTGGTGCCACTGAGCTCAAGGAAGAACGTAACATATGCCATGAACAAGGTGGATCTGCTGGCTGGACACAAGTCCTTTGTCAATAAGTACTCCTCCTTCTTTGCTGAGATGCTGAAACGGTTTACAGGCTCAAAGAACCTCGTTGTTGTCAGTGGTCACACCTCTTGGGGTGTATTAGAGCTGCTGAAGAAGCTAGGCAATGTCAACTACCTCGTTGGATATGTAAACACGGGCAAAACCAGGTTGGCAAACCGGCTTTGGAACTCTTCCGTGCAGCTCAGTTCTCCTGGTGCAAAGAACGTTGATGCCCTAGGCTCATCACACTTACCATCATTAACAAGAGATAACATTGTTCATAAGTGCAACCAGAAGAAGGTCATTGATACCCCGGGGTTCCTCAATCACGACAACGTGTACTCCTTGATTCAGGAGCAATTTTTGAAGCACACTTTGAAAGGCCAGAAGATACTGGTGAATGACTTGAAAACAGCTACCTACATAACGGTGAGAGGGGGCCAATGTTTCACATCTGGTGGGCTATTCTTCCTGGT